CCTGTATCCAAGTCGTTGATGAAGACATCAAAGAGCGCCTGCCCCAGGATGGATCCCTGCAGGACCCCACCAGTGACCGATCACCAGCCCTATGTAACCCCATTTACTAGAACCCTTTGAGCCTGACCTGTCAGTCAGTTGCACTCCCGTAGGAGTATGTGTTTATCCAGCTGTTCAGTATTTATGTTATACACTGTAGAATAATATCAGTATTAAATAGTCAGAACTTTGTAAATGTTGGTGTGGGTTTTCTCAGAGTAATGTGATCTTTGTCCTAGGGTATGTCCTTGAATTTGGAGCCGGACAACGTTGGTGTTGTCGTGTTTGGTAATGACAGACTGATCAAGGAAGGGGATGTTGTGAAGAGGACTGGTGCCATTGTGGATGTTCCAGTTGGGGAAGAGCTGTTGGGACGTGTTGTAGATGCCCTGGGCAATCCAATTGATGGGAAGGTAAGTGTAACTAGATGTTCACTACCTCTGCTTGTATCTATGTGATACAGACTGCAACAGGTCGTTTCTTCTCTTCTAAGGGTCCTATTACATCAAAGACACGTAGAAGAGTTGGCTTGAAGGCCCCTGGAATCATTCCCAGAATCTCTGTGCGTGAACCAATGCAGACTGGTATTAAGGCTGTGGACAGCCTGGTGCCAATTGGTCGTGGCCAGCGTGAGCTGATCATTGGTGACAGGCAGACTGGGTGAGTTGTATGCGCGAGCTGGAAGCGTCACGTTGAGCAGAGACATGAGTACAAAGCTGCATAGAGGTTGGGAGAACCATAGGCAGCTTAATTTACCAATCTCTGTGTTTACACAGGAAAACTTCAATTGCAATTGACACAATAATCAACCAGAAACGATTTAATGATGGAACAGATGAGAAGAAGAAGCTGTACTGTATCTATGTTGCAATTGGCCAGAAGAGATCTACTGTTGCTCAGCTGGTGAAGAGGCTCACTGATGCAGGTACGGATTTGTGAAGATGGCTGAGCCTTGCAAATAGTGACATCCTGTTCTCATTTTAATGCTGAATAGTACTGTGACCTCTTCTGTCTTTGAGTTTGGACAGAACTCTCATACTAAATGAGTGAACTACGTGCTTTCATGGGCAAGAAATTTTTCTAGGTATCTAGGGAAAAATCTGCCTTTTTGCTACATCACATCAGAAGACTAGTATGAGAAAAGCTGAATTGCTTCTGGAAAAGTCAACCTATACAGGTTTTTTTGTTTGTTTGTTTTTTGGGTTTTTTTCAGCAGAGCTAGAGCTTCCTCTTGGCAGTCAGGCAGTCCTGATGACAAGCTGTGACTTACAAGTATTTATGGACTTGGCATTTGTTTCCTGTCTATGCAAGTCAAAGTGAATGGCAGTTGCAAGTTTAGTGCAGAGACTTTACTGCCCGGACATAAGAGATTTAATGATACCATCTTTATAGAAACAGGGATCTTGTTGCCCAAGGCTGCTTATGTAACAGAGCTCGCAAGAGATCAGCCACCTTACCTCTTACCTGCTGGTCAAGCAGAGTCATACCTAGCAGGAAAAAAAACCCCCACATCTTAATGTCAATAATTTATTTGGGACGATGAAACAAAGGATAGTGTCACCTTGCAATGCCCAGGAAACCACGGACTTTCAGACCGAGTTACTTTAAAACCAAAGTATGTCTAGTGAATGCTGATGACACCAAGCTGTGTGGTTGGGTGGACACGC